TCAAGATTTTCTACCTAAAAAATAAATTTTTATCAATTTTAATTTAAAAAAAAACTAATAATGATTGAAAATTGCATATACCTATGAATAGTTAAACTTAAGTCAAAATTTTTAAAAATTTCATGGTGGATAGAATATAGGTACATATATAAACATTCAGTGAAAATTTTATGTATCAATGGTCATTCGTTTTAAAGTTACATCAAAAATCAAAATCGATTTTGTCGAAAACTGATTGTACGTAAAATTTCCTGTTTTTCCCTTAATATTTTTAGTTTGTTTATCCCGATTATTTAGAAAAATATTAAATTTTCAAGTTTTTTTGGTCGTCCAACATTTTTTTACCGGCACTTCAAAAAAAAAAAAATTGAAAATTTCAGTGGTCTATAAATAACTCAAAAAGAGTCAAGACATTTTGAAAATTAAACTGTATATAGATAACACTAACATAAACATTTGGTGTAAATTTCAAGTATTTACAGTGATTAGTTAGAAAAAAAAACACACGCCATTGTAAAAGCAATACATTCATCACTTCGTTCAGAATCTAAAATTCAGAATACCTAGTCAAAATCACTAGTGTACCCGACTCATACGAGGTAACGAATCACATAAATAAATATACACCTGGTACTATCAGGCTGGTAGACATGTGTTTAATGTTCGTATCATATAAGACGCTGAAAAAATACACATACAGATACGTGCCAGTATCATAAATCTCAACTAAAAGGCGTAAAAATCCCATCGTTCAGCACATTATCACTATTCCATAAGACTATAAGAAAGTTTTACATTAAAAAACGTACTTTCCGGCGGCTTCTTTAATATTCAAGAGAGAGAACTAGCCTGTCTCTYCTAGTTTACTGATCAGTATATTTTCCACATACATTTACTTCATCCCTTTTACATAAAATCATAATTTGATTCATTGTTCATAGATGTTCAGTTATCGTGTTTCACGCTTCACGCGTATAGATATTGTGGTAAATTTGTAAGATAAACTGGTAAGATAAACCATACTATTTTTAAAACAACTTTGTTCAATACTTCATATTATAATATTATGACTATCCTCATACAGATATTTAGTTATTAAAAAAACATTTTAAGTTTAAAAAAAAAAATTTAAAACGTCTTCTAAGGATAATCTACATTTTGAATGGCTCAAATGTAATGAAATAACTTCTCTTCTTCTCTTAAATTATTTTTAATCTTTTGTCGTATGCAACCCAATTTTTGTTTAACCATAGCATCTAAGTACTTCATAAATCCTGTATTTAAGTACAATGAAAACATTAATGAAATGCCAATGGACGAATTATGCGTACAGCTACATAATTTTTAAGCCAATTCACGATAACAAGATCGTCATAAAACTTTGAAAATGACTAGGTATAATTCTTTGATATACTACCTTTAGACGTTTTGTATCGCTAATCATACTAACTGTTAGTAACTAACAATAAAATAAATTAAATATACCGTACGTCCGTACATAACTCAGATTTATGTTTGAAATAAGGTGATATCATAAAAAAAGATAAAAAATTATAAATGAATAAATAGATAGTTAAACTATGCAGTAAACCGAACGGTAACGATTAAGTTCTTTAAACGAGTAAATTATATAAATTACAAATTCGATGAAATAAATTTTCATTTAAATCTGACTGTGGTCTGTTAAGGTCTTTAGATAAATTTGGGGAGCGCAGTCGTACATATAATATAATGTATATCTATAACAGACTTTTAAGTTCAGTTAAACATTTATTTTTACTATTGAGTATGTACTCGTATTAAAGTATACCTACATTATATTTTAG